ACGCATCACTCAAATCAAGAAATATTTTACCATTCAACTATTTACTTTATGTAGAATCAGTACTGAAAGCATTGTCGAAGGGTTCATGTGCACTTTAAAAAATCTCATAAAGTCGAACAAAAATCCCTACAAAAATCTATTTTTTCACGTGTTCCTGATTTAAACTTTTCCTAAAATGTTGATATAACCTAGATTTTTAGGAGTTTTTTCGAATGAGCTATCAAAATATATAGAGTCCCGTGCAAAAATTTGAGGGTTTTGCCCTGTTGAAGCTCAAAACGCGTATGGTTCTTCAATAAAATCTTGAAGATTTTTCAGTGGTTCGTGGGCTCAATTTGAACGTTCAAAAGTAGGCAGCCACCTTAACTAAGGTTTTTATTAACTCAAGGAAAAGAAATGGCATATCACAAAATTCAGTTCATGGAACTTTAGCTAAATCTCTGCTGACTTTGTCTAAGATTAAAAACGATTTTTGCTTCACCTCAAAATACCATGCACCTCTGTTAACACCTGGAATTTAAAACAAAGCAATAAATATATGAATTTGATAACAAAAAAAAAAGAGGGTAGCACTTAATAGCCATTGGCTAACAAACCTGTGGCCCTCATTCCGTGATCAAATTGGAATTTAGGAGTTGAATTTTTTTTTGGTAACAAGCCTTCTATTAAATTATGTAGGTCATGGACACCTCTGTTTTACAGCACTGAGTTTCTTTATGTTACGATATCCTTTTTTCCCAAATCCTCTTGACCACACCCCATTCCAAAAATGGAGTAGAAAATTAAAGCTTCCATCCATGGAGTAGGTATGGAATGGTATGAACTACACAATATACCCTCCTCAGACCCTCCAAACCCCCTGGAAATTCCTGGGTTTTTTTCAGGGGGGGGGGGGGGGGTATGGATGAAAGTGTATGATTACATTCATTCAACTAATGTGGAAACCATAAAAAATTGGAAATCATTATGCCTTCACCACACTTAAAAGACGTTGGTAACACAAGAAAGTCTCAAAAGTACTAAAGTGTTTGACTGTTGGTGGATGGTCAGACAAAAATTTTTTTTTTCCAATCCAGTCTCACAATAATGAAAAAAAAATTTTAATCTTAATTTTTTTGCAGAATTTTAGCATTAAATTACTAGTTATGAATATTAAGATAAAACTTATGGGTCAAAAGCTGCAAATTCGATGTAAAAAACGTTTTGCGATCCGGACAATCCAGTTCACCGAAGTCCAGTCCAGCCACCATTCCAGGATACGATTCCTGATTTTCCAAAATAAAATTTTCTCAAAATTCAAAATTTAAAAGCATAAGTCAAATTTTAGAGGTTGGGCATATTTTTGTTAAGCATTGAGATTATTAATAACTTTTAAAAGCTTAAAATTTGATAAAAAGAATTTCATGTGAAGAACTAGTAATGAGGTACATGTTACACCCTCCTCAGACCCTCCCCACCCCTGTAATCTGCAACTACACAATAAATTTGAAGCATTCATACCATGAGTAGCTCTTATCATACAGTAGCCTTTCTCCCCAGTAACTGACAGTCTGTCTTCTGATATCTTTAATTGTGGAGCTAAAGACAAAATATAAAAATAAAATACATACCTAATAAAGACAATTGATTCGGCTTGTTAAAGGCCTCATTAATGATAATAGACCTCATTCATAGTGTGACAATGTTTTCCCAATTCACTGTGACAAACCTCTGGGGGAATGAAGAGCTATTGCTTTGAAACTTGTTGGGATATCATCATTATTCCTTTCGTATCCTTTGGGATACTCATGAATTTTTCGAAGAGTAAAAACAAAAGAAAATGAATCCCCTGAAGGTTTGTCATGCTGAATTGGGAAAACATTGTCACACCACGAATGAAAATGTGAGACATCTATTGGCCAATCCAAGGTTAAGGAAAAAACTGGATCCAATTGGCATAGCAGTGCATGTGGGACTGATATATAGGGGACATATTTCCAAGATGTGTCTATTTTGTCCCCTAACATAGTTCCACAATACAATGGCAACTCAACCCAGATTTTTCCTCAACTTTTGAATGGCTAATACCATATGTACCAGGGGTAGCTAACAAAATAGAAAAGGTATTGCCTTGTATAATAAACCCTAATCAAACTGGATATGTTAAATCGCGATACATTGGAGAAAATATTCAATTAATCTCGGATATCCTGCAGTACACTTTAAAGCTAAATATTCCTGGAGCAGTCGTTTTCGTTGACTTTAAAAAAGCCTTTGACTCTTTAGAATGGGATTATATGTTTAACGTTCTTAAAAAATTTAATTTTGGTCCGCAATAAATCGCTTGGGTTAAAACGTTTTACAGTGACATCTCAAGTTGCATAATAAACAACGGATATGCTTCAGATTTTTTTCTCTTTAATGCGAGGTGTTCGACAAGGTTGTCCACTGTCCGGCCCACTTTTCGCGCTTGCTGTTGAGTTGTTAGCATATGCCATTAATAATAACTCTGAAATTAAGGGCATCAACATAAGGGGCAATGAAATTAAACTTACGCAATACGCCGACGATACAACATGTTTTATGGAAAATGAAGAATCTATACAAAATCTCCTGAAGCTATTAGAAAGCTTTAAAACCATTTCGGGATTGGAAATAAATATCAATAAAACCGAAGTGATGTGGATCGGCTTGGATAAGGGCAAAACGTCTCATCCCTTGGACCTTGGAACCCATTCTAGCTCTCGGTATTTATTTTACGTATAACAACGAGTTAAGCAATCAATTAACTTTTTATGAAAAATTAAAAAAACTAAAGAGCTCCCTCTATGTTTGGAAAAAACGTAATCTATCCCTTTATGGTAGAATTAATATTGTTAAAATGTTAGGGTTGTCAAAACTTATTTATAACGCGTCCGTTCTACCGGTCCCAAATAACTTTGCTACGGAAGTAGATAAGATCAAGTTTAATTTCATTTGGAAAGACAAACCAGCCAAAATAAAGAAAAGAACTATAATTGGCGCTAGAGAGGAGGGAGTGTTGAATATGGTATAGGAAAAAAAAATAGTAGCTCTCGTAATAGTAATGTTATTTATAGTTTATTGATGTAATGATTTTGTTTATAAGTATATTCCATGTACATCCTTCAAGATTGTATATTATTTTGATGTAAATTTATCAATAAACATTTTGATATTAAAAAAGAAAAAAAAAAAAAATGTACCAGGGGTGTAGCGAGGTTGCAATCATAGTGGGAGGGCAATGTATCATTTACCTGCCAAATTCACAGAAATCCTGCATGAATAAATTGAATTTTGGTGCTGAAAGTAAACTTTGGAGTGAAGGGGGTAGGGAAGAAATGCCCTCCATTCACCCTCTCAATGCTAGCGATATGTACCTCTGTCATTCATAGATAAAAGTACTTCTGTGTGGAGCTTGACGCGATAAAGATCCCCAGGAATAGGCTTCCCTGCCCAGTATTCTTGATCAAAGTTTGCTTTTGGAGCAACAGGATCTTGATCAGCAAGAATATATCGATAACCATCCTACAACATTAATAAAATCAATACTGTTAATGGTGCTTGTATCAAGTGGAAACCTTCAGGACCTTGCTTGGTGTCTGCTTAATAGAGATTTTGCACCATTATGTGGGCCGCCTGTAGTAAGATGGCAGAGCAATAAAATCCCTTTACTCTTGGGAGTTGAATTCTTTTTCAAGTAAAAGGATTCAATTGTTTCTGCTGTCTTAATATGGCTGCGGTAATGTGATGGTGCAAAACCTCTCTATAGTGTGTCCATTTAATAGAGGATTATTTTACTATAAAACATATAAGAAGAAAATTTTAACTAGCTATTGCTAGTGAAAATGCTAACCGTGCAACTAGCTATTGCTTTGATAAGGGGTCTGCTTTAAAAAGCACTGTATTATTTTTGGTTTATATACTGAAACGAAATAGAGGACCAATTTGAATAACTATTGTTTTGCACTGACTAGCAGCTGATTAGCCTTGTGTTCACATGGAAACATAACAGCGTTTTTACTTGTATGGGAGGTTAGTCAATTGCTAGGGACCAATAATTTTTTAGCTGGGAGGAAGAGCTGGTGGAATTGAGGCGGAGGCCATCCGAAAAATTTAGACTCCAAAGGGGGGGCCAGGCAAAAAAAGGCTTTGACTTACACTCTAGGTATGGTGAGGGGATGGGGGGGGGGTGTCAGCCAAAAAAACACTGGTTGATTCAGGGGGGTTGCCAGAAAGTTATAAGGGGTCAACCTGTTTTCAACCAGCCACCCCTCCCAGCTAAAAAATGATCAGTCCCCTAGTCAGTAAAAAAAGTTATTTAAATTGGTCACCATATTTCAATTCTGTGTATAGATGTGTCAGATATGCTTCAAATATTGGCCTATGATCACATACTATAGGAAATTTTGGGCCAACGGGGGTTCTCCCAATCTTGTACCCAGAGCCTACGTTCCTCTTGGTCATAATAATAATAATAATAATAATATAATATGATTTATATAGCGCCTATACAAGTCGGCTCTAAGCGCTGTAAAATATATATAAATTATAATTCAAAAGCTAGTTTAAACAAATGAGTCTTAAGGTCTTTCTTAAAAGTTTTTAGACATGAAGTGAGAAACGACCAAGGTACTGACCAAGAGGAAGCTGGGCTCTGAGTTTGAGATTGGGGTTCTTCTAAAGTAATTTCTGAGGTTATATGAAAAAACGCTTGAAATTTCATTATATTGCTATACATCCCTAAACTCAAAGAATAGATTTGTTTTAGAAATACCTTATTGAATGGATGCTCTAATGGGTATCCATGTGGTGGGAGTTTCTGTGAAGCTGGTAAATCACTGTAAAATTCAGAACGCATATGCAGTGAGGCAAGTAAGTGATGCAACCTTACTTATTAATGTCATAATGGGCTCCCTGTGGAATCAAAACCACAGGTATCCCAATGAAACAACAATTCATATCAACTGCTAATGAAGATTACTTTACGTTTTAGATTTCTTAGATGATGAAAACTGCTGACTGCTATCCAATTTTCTTTTCCCTCTGGAAGATTTTCTTTGTCCTGTATCTTTGCCTTTACTGACAGTCAAACTTCTCTGCAACAAGCTGCTCTGCAGCAAACTCCCTTGGCTACTCCCCAGACTGCCGTCAAGGCTGCTGGCAAGCATTCCAAAGTTAGCACAGTAACTGTCCGCCAAGTCACTGCCATTGACAGATTTCTGTTCTTCTATAAAAGCCTCAGAATCTTGGGAATCTTCTAAAGCCTCAGTATCCAAGAGAGATTTCTCGTCATCTACGTCCGTGGCTGTATCATCTACGCTCTCTGTTGTTTCTATATCCTTTTTGACAAAAAAATCGAATTGTCAGCAACAGAAAACTCAGATAAAAGCTCTATGTATCAATCCAGGGAAATTCTCTTTGTTTTGAATGACAGTTGTAAGCTTCTAGCCAATAAAAACTATTTTTTCAAACAAATTAGGCGGAAATAAAAAAGCTTGAGAAGAGTGTACCTTTTCTTGTGGTATTATTTCTTGTGTATCTGGCTTGCAATCTCTAGTGACATCAGTCGTTTCTTCTTGTTCCTCTTCTTCTTCTTTCTTTGTCACTTCTTCCACCTCGCCGTCCGCCATTTTGACTCCAATGTCAAGAAAGTAACTTCGGGAGCCTGGGTCGAGAATTTCTAAAATTCCTAAAATACCTCTATTTTTTTTCTTTCTTGAAGTAAAATAAAAAATATCTTATGTTTTTTTTAACCCTAGTCAAATAAATATCTATTTATGCTCAAAAAAATCGTAATTACCAGGTATAGTTATGTGAGATTTAATATTTGAAGAAACCAGTCGATATTTAGTCGTAGAAAACCGAAGAAACCCGAATAGAAGTGACCGCAAAATAAACCGGAAGCTCGCGGGCGCCAATTAGAGTGAATCACTCGTAGAATGTTGAGTATTTACTATCCTGGGTTGGGTACACTGTAATTTGAGGTGTGGACGATCGCACTGAAAATCGGCTTGTAAATCAGTCTACCTTTTAATTCTAAACGATTTTCTGGTTGTGTGATCTGAGGAGGAACGTTGAAGATGCCTGTGTTTCATACTAAGACCATTGAGAGCATCTTAGACCCCGTTGCTCAACAGGTATGTGTGGTTCTGCAAAGAGCAGTCGATAGCTTTAGTAACTCAGTCTCTATAACACTAAAACTACACCGATTCCCTGATCCGCTATCCTGGGTCTATAAATTTTCTCCACGATACCTCGAATGCGTAAATATTCCAGTCAAATTCACCAAACGCGTCAATCTATTGCATGAAAATAATCGTCCAGAGAAGTTTTGTTAGGATTCTTTCTCGTGCAGTCTTACAGTATATGACAGACATTCCACGAGGGATCGACAAAAAATATTTCAAGGGTGAAACTTTTAACTTTGATAACGATTCCCTGTGGCTATTGACACATGACATTATCATTTAATCAACCAACACTTGCCGTTGAAAAATAACTATTTTATATTTTGAAAACAGCAGCTGTTTGTGCATAAAAAGTAAGGCTTACTGTTTGTCCAAATATTACTCTAACTTTTCCGAGAAGAAATTAAAATAAATACCCTATCCTATTGTATAATGTCTTTGAACTCTTAGAGTTAATTTAAAACTTTATTCCAGCGACATTTTAAAACTTATTTTCATTTTCGTAAGTTTTAAAATATGTTTACTGTATGAATATATTAAATGCAATATACTTTTATCTTTTACATAACAGTACTAATAGTAGCTCGCATGGTTTCAGTACGATATGTCAATTCAGTTACCAAGTACCCCACCAAAACCACAGCTTAATCTTCACACCAAATTTGGAAAAAGATGGTTAAATCTTTGAAGGATAGAATATTCTTTGCGTTTCGATATTAAACCTCAACAAATCAATTTGGAAATTATAATTAATTTTTATTTGTTTTTATTTGTTAATTGTTTACTTGTCTCTCAAGCACTTCGAAAGTTGGTGTATAACCTAACTTTTTTCCACAAAAATAAGTCTTGTTTTATTTATTGGTGTCATGTTTTGTTTTTTGTTTTTTTTTGTTATCTATTTATTTTTGTCAATAACTGTTTGGATATAAATAAATTTCAACTTAAATTTCAAACTCTCTCTCACATTACACACAATAAAGACTTATATTCTATAGACTTCTTCAAAATTTCTCAATTGGCAACAGTGCAGCAACTGTAAAAAAATTTCTTTGAGTGAAGGTCACCCACTTCTATCCTGAAAACTGATTAATTCTCCTGCAAACAAATTAAATCCCTTTTCTTATTGGGTGCATTGTATTTCAAAAACAATAGGCTTTACCCTCAAGCTTTTGTCCATATCAGATAAATTTAGAGCCATTTTTATATGAGATATAATATGATGCATAGTATGCTTAATATATGTTGTTTGAAATTTCTAACATTTTCCTTATCGTAGTTACTAGTTTATCTTACGTTAAAGTTTCTTTGCTTATCTTTTTCTTTTTGTGTGGATTAAGATGTCATAACCTTTTAAGCATTTGACAGAAATCACAGCTTTAATGTTCTATTATATATGATATCTTCATACCAATAGCAAAATGACATTTCACACGCCACAGATTGTTTATTTCATGTTCTTTTAACCTTAGCTTAATTATTTGCATTCCACAAATTTCAGTCCTTCAGAAAACATTCATATACTTTGATTTTTAATTTGCCATCATCATTATTATCATATATTATAATATTTGTATATATATAATATTTGCTATTTGTATTAAAGTTCCTGTAAGATTCTTGATGGCACACCCACGGACTTCCAGCTAATTAAAGATCAAAGAGGCGTTATACATCAAATGGGAAAACCCTTCCCTCAATAATTGTCAAGTCAAACACATTAAATTTAGAGTAATAATAATAATAAGTTTGTAAATCATTAAAATAATAATAATAATAATAAAAGAATATTTACATTATGTACTTTGTGAAAATTTAAAGAGAAAAAGTTACTATTTACAAAAAACTAGAAAAAAACAAAATGAAAAACAAGCATTATAAAAAAGTCTAAAATTATCTAATATCGGCAAGGTTAGTATTAATGCTAAAGTCCAATAGAAAGTCACTTTCGTTGTTCTTATAAAAAGGAGTGCGGGAGCCTCTAATGCATGTAATTACAGTCAAACACATTAACCTTTGTCTTTCCATTTGATTTCATTCCATTGTTTTTCCACATTGTATAACATTGTAATCACTTACATGCATATTCATTTAATTTTTTTTAATCAGCTATATATAACTAAGTTAGCTTTGTGATCATTATCCACTGATGATGGCAGCAGGACTGCCGAATCATGTCTATTAAAAGAGTCATATTATACCTGAAGATTATTAGCATCATCATCATTATTGTCATCACATTTGATGCATCTCTAGTAAACAAAGAGATGCTACTCAAGGGAAAAACATATGGTTTGAAAGGTTCAAACAACATCCCCATAAATTAAATAAGTTCCTTACATTAGTTTATAATATAGATATCGATGAAATACCAGGTTTTCTCTAGTGTCGAAAACTTGATATCTTTCACCAGTGGAAGATACCATATCTTTCACACTCGAAGATATCACTGTTGAATTGGCTTGCTATTTTAATAAAGAATTTTTGAGCTTTTGTTTTATTTAAGTTTCATCGATACCTATATAATAAACAGAACATTACATGGCCGCTTCGAGATACGAATTTTATCTTCTCGTGTTCAATTTAGATATCTCACTCGTTTGCTGCGCTCACTCGTAAGATATCAATTGAACACTCGAAGATAAAATTCGTATCTCCGCGTGCCCATGTAATATCCTCTATTTATTATATCATGTTTTATTTTTCTACCACAGGTTTCTCAACTTGTCATTTTCCATGAAGAAGGAGAAGATGGACGAGCAATGCCAGATCTTTCGGCACCAATCAAAGCTGTCGGCGCTGCAGTTGCCAACCTGGTTAAGGTATTCCAAGATTATACATTAAATATTTGCTGGTAATAATAGTTATATTTTTACCAATAATTTTGAATTTGGGAAGTCAAACTTTTCCTGTAGCTAGTTGGTTAGAAAACATTACTTCTGCTCATGGGGTAAAAAAGTATTATTGAAACAAATAGATCTTTTATATGTGACATCATTCCCATGTAAAATAATGTCAAAGTGGGAAGAATTTTGTCAATACATTTTTACAAAAATTGTTTTGTTCTTGTGCACTGTAAACAAAATCACAGGTTGGACAGCAAACAGCAGCAAATAGTAAAGACAAGATCCTAAGACAAGAGATGCCATTAGCATTTACAAGGGTTGAAGAATCATCAACATTCCTGGTGGAAGCAGCCAAGATACTTAAAAACGACCCATACTCATCTGTTGCGAGGAAGAAGCTAATCGATGGTGCAAGAGGTAGCTTTATAACCCTATAATGGTGTGACTTTTTCAATGGACATGCAATATACCCCCAGGAACTTCCAATTTTCTTCCATACAAACTCTGCAATTTTGTTCTTTCTCTGACCCCCCTCCCCACCAGAATTTCCAATTTCCTCCATGGGTGGGGTATGGATATTTTCTGGAACTACACAATATATGAAATAGGGTAGTTATATTCTTTTCTATTTCTTAACAATGCTATCTTGGCATCTGTTTTCCATTATTGACCATCCTTTTTTGATTAATCTTATCTGATACCAAACTCCTTCAAGTGTGATGTAAATCCTTATCCTAGAAAAGAAGAATAGATCTCAAATTTTGTTTCTGTTTTTACACTTTTTGCTTACAACTATCAAAGCGATTTTCCATCCATTTTCAAGATATTTTAAAGTTAAATCCAAATTTTTAACTATTTATTGTGTAGTTCCAGAAAATATCCATGTCTCTCTACCACATAAAGCTTGATGATTAAAGCAATGATCCTCCTCACCCCTTGGAAATTCCAATCCTCTCTCATTGGTGAGGTATGGATATTTAATGAAACTACACGAATACAAGTGTTTGTTTGTCAATGACACTCATTCAACTATATATAATAAAGATTTTATTAGGGTAGGACTTAATAGCACAAGGCATAAACTTGTGGGCCATAACCACATGCAGAAACCATAAAACCCTGGAAAGCATTATGTCTTCACCACACGAGACATTGGTAACACTTGAAAGTCTCAAAAATACTAAAATGTTTGACTGTTGGAGGATGATCAGACAAGAGGCAAAAAATTCCAGCCTTATATATACCGTAATGTTTTACAGTCGTGAAAAAAAATTAAAAATCCTATTTTTTTGGCAAAATTTTAGCATAAGGTTACTAGTTATGAATATCAAAATACAAATTATAGGATAAAAGCTGCAAATTCAGTGTAAAAAAACGTTTTACGATCCGGACAATCCAGACACCGAAGTCCAGTCCCAGCCACCATTCCAGAATACGATTCCTGATTTTCCAAAACAAAAATCACTCAAAACTCAGAATTCAGAAGCATAAGTCGAATTTTAGAGGTTGCACATTTTCTTATTAAGCATTAAGACTATCTGTACCCTTTTAAAAGCTGAATAATTGATGAAAAGAATTTCATGTGAATTTCCAATAATGAGATGCACACTATACCCTCAGACTCTCCCCACCCCTTGGAAATTCCAATTTCCCCCACCCACTTCTTGGGCAGGGTACGAATAAATTCTGAGATTCCTCATCCAATCATTCATCTTATCACAAAAGAAGGAATGTTGATTTAAAAAGCTATAATGTTCTCTTGTTTCTTTGATATTTTTTAGGGATTCTTTCTGGAACCTCTGCTCTCCTTTTGACCCTCGACGAAGCAGAAGTAAGACGAATTCTCCATGTCTGTAAGAGCTTGTTGGAGTATTTCCCTGTAGCTGAAATGGTAGAAGAAATGACGGACCTGGTGACTTTTGTCACCAATCTGACTCCAGGAACGACTTCTCTTGCAAAACAAGTGGAAGAAAGAGCAGAGGAGCTTACTCATCATGAACACAGAGATATTTTAAAATCCTGTATTGGAAAAATTAAGCATCTTGTTCCACTATTGATATCTGCTATGAAGGCCTTTGTCAAGACACCCCTTGGAGGTATGAAAATCCCCACTAATAGTTTAGTAATATCCTAATATTATCTAGGCTTTTGGAGTTGAGTAAACGAGCATGTGAAAAGATTTTTCCAGATTTGATTACCTAGGTAAATTAATATTTACAGTCATTAGAGCTAAAAAGTATGGATGCACCTTGGTTTATGAAAAGCCATTAAATATCAGTTACTTATGTCTGTAAGTAACAAGGTTCGATTATAAATATTGTAGATATATGTTCAAAAGAATTAATTTTTAGGATTAACATAGGTAYATTAAGATGGGATTTGTCTTTCAGCTGGTCGTGCCGAAGCACAAGAGAACAGAAACTTCATCATCACCAAAATCTGTGCTGAAATCACCGAGATCATGCGAGTATTGCAACTGACTTCGACGGAAGAGAACAAAGGAGATGATCCATTATACGACATGAAGAAAGCAGTGTCTGTGTTTGATAGCAAGTTTGATAAAGCACGAGAATGGATTGGAGAACCAACGTGTGATGCTGGTGGCTTAGGTATTGAAGCTCAAGAATTTTCTTCTCGTCTTAAATGAACCTCATTACCTTAGGCATAATTTTTTACCATTTCAGACCATGTGTCATTCTCTACAGTAGCATCTTTTTGTTTAATGGTTACGCATGAGAAGGCACATGAATGTGGATACAATCCAAACAAAGGATCTCATTCTCAAGAGAATGACACGTGGTCTGAAATGGGAAAACATTACGCCCAAGTTGGAAAGACCTATTTCTTTAGTAGCGAGCATGGATTGCTGGTTTCTGCAGATGCCACAGAGGGAATAGAGTTCATTTTTATTCTCCTCCCTCACCATGAGGGTTTACTCCAGGTTCTCTGGTGTTTCCCCATCAGTCTGGATCCTGAAGGAATCTCATACTAAACTGAATGTCAAACGTTGAAATTCACATGAGCCGAACCTAATGACATCAAAGAAGATCGCCTTGTAATCCATTGTTTCAATTAGGTTGGGCTCACGTGAAGTTCAACGTTTGACCTGAACCTAACTCACATATATGCTGTCATATTAGGTGACCAAGCAGTGCGTGAATGCATCCAACAAGGTCGTTTAATGGGTAGTGTATGTCAGGACCCACAGAAGAACAAGATTCAGAGGTGTTGTGATGACTTAGACCGGCTGATGAGTGAACTGGAGACTCTCAGGTCCCAAGGCAAGGTAAACTGGAAAACGTGGGTACTGTGCGCTGCAAATGCACCACCTTTGTGGTTTCGATCCCTAATGGCGCATACATTTTTTAGGCTTAACGCTAAAATATTTCCAACTACCTATGAATATCATTATAGGGAACAACACCAAGAGGACTAGAGTTGTCCAGAGAAGTTGACAAGCAGTTGGGTGTCTTAAGGAACCTTATGGATGAAGCCATTCACCATCAAGGGATCAGTGGCATCAAAAAACCTGCCAACACGTTTGTTGGTAAGATGGAACAGGCTCAACAATGGCTCGCTAACCCTAGTGGAGATCATACCGGACTTGGTAAGACTTGTGAACTTCCTTCCCCCCCCCCCCCCCCCCNCCCCCCCCCCCCCCCTGGGGAAAAAGAGATGGTCCTAGCAGAGGAAGGCTGATAAGACTAAGGTTTAACGTGGAACTTCACATGAGTCGAACCTAATCACGTCATAGAAGAACGCTTGCTATCCATTAGGTTCGGCTCATGCGAAGTTCCACGTTTGACCTGAGCCTAAGAAGATTTGACTACTTTCGACGATAAAAAGAGAAAAGAAAAATGAAAATAATAGAAAAAAAAGGGGGAAGGAAAGGGAAGAAAAGGGAACGAAAGGGAAGAAAACGAAGGGAAAGGAAAGGATTCTGGTGAAGTCGTACACTTTGATTAGTTAATAGAAATTGAATATTTTTGTTGTAGGTGAAAAAGCAATCCGCGAATGCATAAATGACGCGAGAAAAATCGCTGACAAATCCTCGGGACCTGAACGAATGGAGCTCTTGAAACTCTGTAACGAGGTTGAAAGACTCACTGACGAACTGGCGGACCTAAAAAGACGGGGATTGGTAAGAAACAGAACAACTACAATTCAATGTAACCTCGCATTCTCGAGACACACCTGATAAGTAATAGAGGGTGCTTTTACTCAGGGAATCAAGGGTGGTGCAGTGGTAGTGCACTCACCTCTCACCCCTGGGGTCTCGGGTTCTATTCCTGAACTGGGCATCACATGTGAGTAGAGTTTGTTGGGTCTCTCCCTTGATTTGAAGGGTTTTCCCCCAGTTCTCCAGTTTTCCTCCCTTCGCAAAATCTAATTTTAGCAAGCTAAGGTAAATTCCAATGCGATCTGTGAGTTAGCCGTGTTTAGATAAGTCCAGAGGTTGTTTCAGGTTGTGCTGAAATCGAGAGTTTTTTATGGTGCACAGGCCATAGGTGAATTTGGCTCGTCATTGATTTGTTTGTTTGTCTTGTGTCCAGGGTAACTCACCTCAAGCCTATGCCTTAGCCAACAAGTTGAGCAACAAACTAGACGAACTGCACCGTCAAACACAAAGAGCCATCGCTAATCAAGTGGCTCAGAACTTCGTTGACCCAACAGGACAGATAAAACAACTTGAGAGGGCGGCTAAAGCTCCAAGAGGTAATGCTTTAAAAATTGAATTGGGATCCCTGTGCTTTGAATGATTAAATTTGGGCAAGATGGCCGCTATATATCGGTAAAAAGGGCTATAGAGTGTGTGCAACCATGTGACTCAAAATCCCTTGAGATATGATAACAATAAAACAGCCGCCATCTTGGTTGATCTAACAAGAGAAGCTAATGAGGAATGCTTTGTTATCGTCAACAAAGATGGCAGCAATGACGTAACATGCACCTGCTCTATTTCACAATTTGAATCTTTCAAAGCACAGGGAGCCCAATTTTATCTATTGTCATATTTCGTGGCTTATCAATATTTCTGAGCTCTTAATTATTGCGACTTTGATACGAAAAAGAAACTTATTTTTTAACTTGTTGTACGCTTTTACAGGTACACCGAATCGTGAGGCTGATTTTGAAACCAAAGCTGGTAACTTTGAACATCAAGCCAACGAAATGGCCGACACTGCTTTTAGATTTGCCAACAATTCGAGCACAACAAGAAAGAAATCTCTGGAAGATATTAGAAAAACAGCACAATATGTAAGTAAAAAGCTTCTATCACACAGCGTTGCGCAGTTTATTCCCCTCTCTCCATCAGTGATTCAAAGCTCAATCTACAAGGAAAGAGAACTCAAAGAGTGGTGCGCACTCTTCCCTTCTCTATATCTTTCACACTTTTTCTTCCATTCATACACTATATTATCCCTTCAACAGATGAAAGAACTAACCCCACAAGTATCTCATGCTGCAAAAGTTCTTCTTGATAACCCAGATGAACCTGCGGCTGGAGAACATTTCGAGAAACTCAAGGATGAATGGGTTCAGGAAACTACAAAACTGGCTAATTCTATTGACTCTACTGCAGACACTTTACAGCTTATTGAAGCTTGTGGTATGAACCAAGACATTCTTGTTTAGCCTGTTTGGTGAAAGATGCCAAACCTGTTTTATCCTGTTCGGAATCTTAGAGCTTGCAGTTTCGTTTGCATACGTTTCCAAAATTCTCCCATTTTTTCTTTTAGAAACTTTTGCTCTAGACTTAACAACATAAAAAACTTTTAAAAACTTATATTTTACAACCAAAACTCCCAGTACAGGGGGGCTCTTCCGTGGGGTTCCCATCACACGCATTACTACATTCAGCATCAATACTTTGGACAGAAGTCCATGGCGCACGTAATATTTTGTCTGATGAAATAGTCAGTAACGTGATTTACAATGGGATAGCTCTCAGCCAATGAGGTGTAACTTTTTGATGTACCGCTGACCCAAATACTGCATAATCATGCAGTGTGTAGGACAGACAATTTCACGTTTTTTATCTTGGTTATTTTCAGAGGAAGCCATCAACAGAGATGTCCTCGCCTGTGATAATGCGCTTTCACAGGAGAACCCTCAGGTATGTGATACAAAGATTCTGTAACAGGGAGACGTTGAACCTTCAGTGTTTGGGATAGCGAAGCCGGTGATGCGCAAATGGTCGCGGTTGACAGAAAATAGCATGCGCCACACGTTTTAACTTTCTTTTTTATTCAATCGTTTATTCATTAATTCATTTCAATTTTTTCTTCCGTCTGTCTCTCTATCTTTTTTTCTTTTTTTTTTTTTTTTTTTTTNTTTTTTTTTTTTTTTTTTTTTTTTTTTAAGTTTTTCTTTCCTGCTTTCTTTCTTTTCTTTTCTTTCTTTTTCTTTCGTTCCCTCGTTTTTTCTCTTTCCTTGTCCTTTATTTCCTCTTCTCTTTAACGACATTCTTCATGTGGTAACTACTAATATTCATGTTTTTTCTAATAGCTCATGTATGTATTTTATCGTTTTCTTTCAGTTGGTTGTTGCTAAGACAAGCAACATTGCTCGCATGGCCCAGCGCATCGCAAAGCTGGTCAACGCAGAGGCCGAGAACACCGAGGATCCAGAATTTCGTGCTAAACTGGAACAAATGTCAAGGAATATCCAAGATGGTAAGACCACCAAAAAAACCAACATCTATCTTTTATAAAACCTCGTCAAACTGTTACAAATTGCTAGAGCAGTTATCGTATGAGTGGGAAGCGTACGATACTCACTTAGAGCACGTACACGGTACGACATGCCGTAACATTGAAATGGCTTCCCATAAGAATGGTTATCGTATGAGTGGAAAGCGTACGGTACTAACTTGCAACACTTACACGGTACGACATGCCGTAACATTGAAATGGCTTCCCATAAGAATGGTTATCGTATGAGTAGGACACGTACGGTACTGACTAACAACACTTACACGGTACGACATGCCGTATGATTGAAATGGCTTCCCATAAGAATGGTTATCGTATAAGTGACTTTATTACTGCGATTATTATTGATTTGATGTCATTACATGCCATAGCATTGAAATGGCTTCCCATAAGAATGGTTATCGTATGAGTGAGAAACATACGGTACTGACTTACAGCACGTACACGGTACAACATACCGTAACATTGAAATGGCTTCCCATAAGAACGGTTATCGTATAAGTGGCTTTATTACTGCGATTATTATTAATTTGATGTCATTCTTTCTCTAGTGATCGCACCTCTTGCTATCGAGGCCAAATCAGTGGTTTCAAACATCAAAGACAAACAGGGCCACGAGAGACTTAGAGCGGCCATGAGAAGGGTACGTTAAAAATGCCACCTCTTTGACAAAAGCTAACGTCCTACAAGAGAATTCTTCCATTCACTGCAGGACAGGTTTGCTCTGCCTCGAATAAGTCTGCCAGTTTATTATTTAGCTTTATTTAGCTATCCACACCACAAATGAATCAGCGATATTCACTGTTTACAAACATTGACGTCAGGAATCTTTTGTCAATCAAATTTGCCAACCATTAAAACAAAAGATCTCTTTGTTACAGTAGCCAATAGATATCTGGTTGGCACATTAATATCAATAGGTGACATCAACGCAAAGTGTGGTGTTTCACACGGTTCAACCCTTGGTCCCTTCCTTTAGTTTCCTAATATTTACGTGATATTTGAATTGTTTTTAGGTTCAAAGGAACGTAGGTGAAGTACGCAAAGTCTTTATTGATAGAGCAACACAATCTGATGATGAGGACTTTCCACCACCTCCTCCACCCCCTCCCCCAGAAATGGAAGATCTGAGCCTTCATGAGAGTGAGTATGCAATATTATCACCCCCTCTCCCATAGGAATATGAGATACGTGCTGCCAACACTTTCCCGAGAGAGGAAGGGTCTAAGCATCGACATAAGTGATGCCGACCCCCTCCCCCCCCCCCTCAGATATTATAACCCCACCCCATCCTCCAAAGTGAAATAACCTCTACCTCAGGTCAAGTTGTTTGATATCGTTACGTTTATTTGTAATTTAGGAGAGAGAGCACCTCCCCGTCCCCCACTCCCACGGGAGATGACAACGAGTGCCCCACCCAGACCTCCCCCACCCGCGATGGAGCCCAAAATTGACATGAATCTACAAAGCATGTTGGAGAGTCCACCAGAAGACAACAGAATGGCGGTAAGGGTTTTGTTAACATCAATTATGAGCAGAGTAAATTTTGATATTGAATTCACAATCACGTGTAAATGTCCCGTTCATCCAATATGGCTACCATCACGTGATTGAGACTATTTTGTCTTGTCGTTTCTCAGATGGCAGCGAGTAACCTGCACAAAGAAATCCTCAAGTGGGAAGAACAAGGAAACGACATGATACAAGCGGCTAAAAGAATGGCCGTTCTTTTTGCCAAGATGTCCAAGTTCATGAGGTAAGGCAACAACCTCGGCCGCACGATTCCTGCGGCACGCCATTAAAATTACGTTAGTTTAGGAATACTAGAGTGCATACCATATACCCGTTAAAAAACTTTGTAAGAAGTTGACGCACGGGAGGAGGGTAAGGCGAAATTTAAACTGCATCCGGGTACTTAAAATAGCCCAAACGGAAATTTACATGGCGCGCGCCACAAGAAGTTTCCCTCTCTTATTTATGCTCTCTCGGTATACCTCAGAAGACCGTAGACCTACTAAACTTTGCATTAATTTGTACGATTTTTTTAGCTAATTTTTTTTACGGATATGAAATGTATGCATTCTACAAAGGACATACTATCGATTGTCAATTGTTTTCTGTCAACAGAGATGAAGAAGAAGGCGAACCTCACTCTAAGAAAGAGTTGATTCAACTGGCCAAGGAGATTGCTACCGCGAGCAAGGAAATCGTGAAATTTGGTAACCGAGCTTGTCAGAAATGTTCTGATAAGAGACTAAAAGCGGTAGGTAGAGCAAAGATATCGTAAAATACCGTTAGATTCTTGGTAAAACGTAGTAATAGGGGAAACATAGTCGTGCAGTTTGTTGCACAACTTTATCTAGTTCTCCGCGCGCTACAGATTTTCTGTTGTGGAGAGAAAACATGGAATGTTTTCATGTGGGAATTCTTGGCTGTTCGTTCGTTTTGAACTTAAAACGCGGTTCTTCCCAAGAAAATGCAAAGTAATTTTGAATAGAAAATAGAGTCCCTCGCTCAGCGCAAAAAATCTTTGAAGACTTTTTTGCGAAAGACTCTCCGGTCTGACAACCCAGCTCCTAAATGTAAAGCGTAATGATATGTAATGAACCCATCATTCAGTTCAATTAAAAGAGGCACCTTTGTTAATGAACCAATGACCTTTCTTTGATAGTCAATGCAGCAAACCATTGATCGAATCCCAACCATTAGTACCCAACTCAAGATCGTGTCTACAGTCAAAGCCACCATGATTGGGTCTCAAGGTAAGAAAGACCAACACGCGCAATAGACCCGTTTCGAATTGCAAATTACCGCTGTGTTTCTTGATTACAGACTCATTTGCACAGGGTTAGCCTCGAGTTTGTGCACAATATTCACGTGTTCCAGTCAAGGCCCGTCGAGTTTCAAAATGTTTGTATTGTTGAAGTTGTGCATTCTTTACTTTACCTTTGGTATTTGTGAATATTTAAACACTGATACGAGGCTAACCCTGTGTAAATGAGTCTGTAATCAAGGAACACAGCGGTAATTTGCAATTCGAAACGGGTCTATTGAGTATTTTGTCGCTTGTCGAATGACTCTTAGAATTCCTTTCTGAGTCTTTAAGACTGACAGGGCCCAATAACACTAACACTGCCCCTCATCTGCTGTGGGCTTCCTGTGTTTTTTTAATACTTTGAATGCCCTCCTTCTACCGCAGAACTCGAGGAAGATCGTGAAGCAACAGAGACATTGGTTGGCTGTGCTGAGAACCTAATGAGTGCTGTCAGGCAGACTGTTCGTGAAACAGAAGCTGCGTCTGTCAAGATGCGTACCGACGCTGGCCTTGTCATGCACTGGAAGAAAAAACAATATTAAACTCAACGACAAATAGGATTTTTATTACAATGAAGACTGGGACTTGGGAACTGGAATGCAAAGATAATACGCAAAGAGCATGCGCATGTGTAGTCTTTTTCGCGCGCTTTGCAGAGTTAGATTCCGCACGCGTCTGCCGACTTTTCCGTCGCGGTTTTTGGTATGGATATGGACTACACATGCGTCTGAGTGGCGTTGTGTAGTAATGGTTTTTTAATTATGGAATTTATTCTACAAAGGTTCGTTACCAACAAATATAGTAAAAAATATTGCTGGTTTGCAATCATATCTAAGGGATTTAGAGAAGGGTGACCATGTTGGACGAAGTTCATTCAACATGGTAACCCGCCTTTTTTCGACTGGCATATTCAAATAATGTAAACTTATAGCTGTCTTAGCCTATGTAGCGAATAATCATTCATTGGTACAATTAGGTAACTAAGGAGAGTAACTTAGAAATTAATACAATACAGCAAATATCAATTACTAAATTACAATGTCTCATTAAGGAGGTTTTTGATGAAGAAAGAGAAAATTAAGATAAATAGATCAAGGTATTTCTTATCAGAATGCATTTTTTTTAACCATTTTCAAAAACTCTTGAAAACTAACATAATCATCAGCAACTGTAATATAATGTTAAGAGATATTTTTTCAATTTCCCCCCTACCCCCGGTGTTTTCGATCACTCAATTTGTTTTCGTTATACGCGTTCATGCGATCACTACGGATGCAAAAATATCGTATGGAGTTTAAATCGTTTTCTAAAACGCGTAGATATATATAGATCTACATTTTTACGAATCTTCATTCCTAAAGTGACTCGGAAGTTTTCTACGCATACTTTGGTAGCGTTTGTATCATGACGTCATTATAAATTTGACCAAATAAGGTAAAAGTTTTGAGACATTCAATTGGATATTTTTCTTAAAAGGTCTAGAAAAAACATACTTGTGAAACTGTTGCCCGAAGGAACTAAATGGGGCCATTTCATAGGCTCATTTTACGTCACTGTTTTTTTGGCGAAGGGGCGGTCGCCTTTCAAGATGGCGACGCTATCTGAGCCTGTTACTTCGTTGGCTCAAAAATTGCAAGGTAATCCAGATACCACTTTTTCATTGGAGCACTAAAATCCGCGCTCAGAAGCAATAGTATTTGGCACTGACCAGTAGAAATGCAGCCTCGTAAAATGTTAAGGAGTGAATTTCAAAAGTAATGTAGTTTTAATCACAGGAAGCCCAAGTATAGCCAATATGAAACATGAATATTGTAACAGTACATTCTGGTTCCTAGAGCCTGCGCTATTGCCAGCCAGGGGAAGGCAAGGCGCGAAGCTAGAGCAGGCTAGCACAGGCTCTGGGAATGAGAATGGTAACAGTACGTATCATCCAGGCACAAATTTGGGAGTTCGTATATAGATAGGGACCTAATATTTTGATTTAAGTTACCTATTAAATGTTTTCTAAAAACACTTATCTTGTTGCTTGTACTAAAAAAACCTACCAAGTTTTACCAGTAACCTGAGAAAACAGAAGTCCTTTCGCTTCCCCATCCCGAAAGTAAGCTAGTGTTGAAGTAGGAAGTCTCTTAGGGAGGTGTGGGACAGGTCTTCTATTCCTTTTGTTACAACAGTATGTTTCTAATAGTTCATCTTCCTTGGTGGCCCAGAGTACCCATGGGTCCAGTTGTACAAAGGGTGGATAGCACTATCCAATGGATAAATCTTATCTGGTGGAAAAATGTATTACATAACAGCATTGACTTATCCACTGGATAAGAATTTTTATTATATAATTACCAATGAAATATCTATTTCTCTATTTCGAAAAATTGATATCTTCACACGTGAAAATAACATGTTATTTTCACGTGTGAAAATAACACCATTGCGATGGCTATTCAAAAATACACGGAAAGAATTGCCTGAAAAAGCCAAAACATACTTTCATTGATAATTATATAATAAACAGAATATTACATGGGCGCTTGGAGATACGAAATTTATCTTCTCGTGTTGAAAATCTCTCAACTCGTTCGCTGCGCTCACTTGTGAGAGATCTTTTCAACACTCGAAGATAAATTTCGTATCTCCGCGCGCCCATGTAATATCCTCTATATATCCACTCTTCATGCAACCAGGCCCATGAGTACTCTTGAACAGGAAGCCCAAGCAATAAATCAAAAATATTTTAAAACATTTAAAACATTTGGGACAACTTGTACCCATGCTTTTTTCCTCTTCCTTATGCACAAAAAAGGATGGTAGCCTAGGTTCAAGGTTGACTAAAAAAGACGAGGTTTTCAATTTTATTATATAATTTTAATTTAACAATCATAAAAAAGCATGCTGCAAAAATTGTTTTGATTGGATTATGAATTACAAGACAGATTTAAAATAAACTATACATAATCATGTTAGATGTACAACACAGCACTGATAGAGTTTACAGCACTAATACCAGTATATGACAATGATACAGGGTGTGCATGCCCTTCTTTTACCTTGGGTGTTATGTTTTCCCATTTCAGACCACGTCATTCCCTTGAGTATTATTTCTTTTATGGACTCTTACCTCGGGCGTAATGTTTTTTCATTTCAGACATGTAGTGCCCAAGAAAAGAAGATTCTTTGTTTGAGTTGCATCCATGTTTATGTGTCTTCTCACGGCAACGGTTAAACAAAGAAATGATACTCTAGGGAATGACTTGTGGTCTGCAATGGTATGAATTTCACGCCCAAGCTGCAAAGGTCTATTCGTGACATCACATCAGTCAAGCTGTTACAATAAACCAAACCACACAACATATTTCAGCTAGTGATGTCAAAAGTAAAAATCTCATTTATACTTTCTGCTCCTTCATATCACTGGGATTTCACTGCGATTGAGATCATGTTCTGGGCTAAAAATAGATTGTGATGTCATCACGGAATAAGCCAATCAGATCTGTGTTGCTTGTAGTTTCATCCAAGACAACCAGCTCTGTTGCTTTTATCGTTTTCTGCTTGTTCTCTTGGGGTTTCCAACGTATTGTGGCAGATTTTCTCTTAGAAGTCTTTTGAAATCATTACTTAACCTTTCTCCAGCTTGGCCTGTCTCAGACAAGATCTGAAAATATATGGAAATAAATTTCAACTCTGTGAAGTTATATATAACAATGTTGGTGGCAAAACTGTGAGCCACAGACAAGCTGTCCTAAACATCACACAATAGTAATATCTTAGACTTGAATATAGAGTTTCGCACGCTGTGATTGGTCAAGCAACCAGTGATTATGAGACGATAATTAATCAAGCAGTGATTGTGAAGATTTCCAAAGTTTACCAGAGAGGAAGTAATACTAAAACCTTTTTTTAACCTAAGTTTTGTCTTCTCTAATATTGAAGTCTAAAATTATACTAAAACAATTATTCCCCTCAGGCTCAGTGATTATGCCTCTCGAAGACTCGTGGCTCGGTAGACATACACCGATAATCACTTCACCTTTGGCAAAGAATTGTTAAGTATCAAAATTCTGGAAATATAATTTGATTTTCTACTAAACTTTCTGAGATTGAAGTGAGTTTGACTGAGAAAGTCCATGTTAAGTTATAGAAATATTGAAAGTGGACTTTTTCTCAAGGTTGCCTGCTCATCCAAATTTAAGAATTGATGGGCCACGATACCAGAACAGGAGCTTTATAATGAGAATTATTATACTTTCCATTAGATTTTTCAATAAGAATTTATCGAATCAATTATTCTTCTCTTTGAATATGACTTCTCATTGTTTTTCAGTTTTATGGCCCGTCAAGTTGAATGCGCAGGCAGCCTTGTGAAAACTGTAAATTGATAGATGCTTACGTGGTTGTACTTTTCACAGTTCTCAAACACCAGTTGCACGTCATGTACAAATGATTTTCCATCGCTGTATTGTAACGTTTCTAGTTTATCTTTGATTGTTTGGAAGTCCATAGGCTCAGATACGAAATCAAAGTAATCTGGCACCTGAACAAAAAATGAGATAAGTCAATGAGTCTGAGTCAATGAGTACTAGGAATAGAGTAGATATAGGATGACTACATAGTGTCACGCCACAATGATATCAATTCATCCATTCATGCGCTCATCCTATCATGGTATTAGACTTGGCACCATCACAGTGATGGCACACATTGTCTTACCGTGACATTTTTATAGTCAAGATTGTAACACTGTAAAATGTAACTTCGGAAAAGTTTTTTTCTAGCGCTTTACTGCCAAGCAACACCTATATTTATCAAAACCTGTAATCAAAGATCACGGTGTGCTGCGCATTTGTAAGTGCAGTTGCGCATGACCTAGATTCATAACCTAGTGTAATGCTTAAAAACGTTTAAACAGCATTTTATGCTAAGC